CAGGATGCATAGAGTTTTCATTCTCAGCGTTTTTGCGAATAAAATCCCGGGTATTTAGGATAGGGTGAGGGGTGAAAAATCTTCCATTTCCACGTTCACTAATAATTCTAGGATTAGGTGGTTGGGCAGTGCACCTAGCTCTTGGATAATAATTATTTGAGCGCATGTTCAGATGTTGGTCTGACATGTTCTTAATATTATCAGTCTTACAACTTGGAGAGGCTAGGGGCACATGACATGACATTAAAGGAGTGAACCTGTTCATCGTAGTTGGAAAAGTCGGTGGCAATCCGGTTTGAATCCTACCTATTTTTTTACTTGAGACCCAAGATTTAATCAGTTCACTCTTCTTAGTTAAAGACGGAGAATGTTTTGGTCCCCTGGACGTGTTTTTCAAAAACACGTCAGTTTCTATCGTATTCTCTCGTGCAATATATTTTGGGGATGGATTCTTAATTTTATTAGTTTTAGCTGGAACTGTGTTGTTTTTTGGGACATTTTCAGTCAAGTTAACGTTCGAACAGCTGGGATTAGAACTGCAAGGGTCGTTCGATTTCTTGGTGACAGAGGGCATCCGTACTTTGTTAGAAGGTTTACAGTCCACAGGCTTATCAAGATCTACATCGTGGTTTATTTGTTTATTTACTTTCATGACATTGAGGGTTATTTTCTGTAGATTGTCTGCTGTCTCACCGTTATGTGATCTAGTCGCCTCTCTTGTTTTTACACGACGTTGACGAGCCGTTAGATCCGGGGTAACCTTTACTTCTTTGTATAAGGTTGATGAGCTAATATTTTTGCTCAAACGGATAAATTGTTTGGCGTCGTTGCAGCAGCCGAATTTGAAAAGGAGGGGGCAAGTTGATTTGTCCGATTATTTTCTGAGGCGAGTGACGTGACAGCTGACGTTTGTCATATCACACGCTTTTAGACAGGTATCCTTCAGCGAATTCAAGGATGTGTGGTCGGGGAGGTTATAAGCTATCGCATTGCAGGAAGATATTATTCTTTTCGTAACTTCCTCAGTTACAAAGCCTAGGATATATTCCACTTTGGCTAATTCTTCTAGGTTCCTATCATTATTCGGGGCCCATAAGTGCATGAAGGGTGCTAACAGGTTAAGCTTATCGTTAATTTGGGCAAGCGAGTTTTGTAACTGTCGTATCTCGCTGCCATGGTTATTACTACTATTAACGGTTTCGGATGGAGCATTCAACTCCTTGGTTTGTGAATTTCCTGATTTAGGCTTTACAAGATTATGGTGAAGTTTTTTCTGTGTAGAAGTTTCGCTATATTTGGGTATAATATCTCTTATATCTACGAGTTTTACTATTGGAATACTTAGTGAAGATTCATCTGACATAGGGTTTGCAGATTTTGATCTTTCGGGTGGTTTAGAAGTTGGAGACATTTCTCTTTTACTCGAATTATTTGTCATAATGGAAAATTGGGTGGGATAATTGCTTGTCTAACTAACTCAAATATCTAAGGGTATAATTTATTGTGTATTAACTGTGTTAATACTATAAATCAGTGGCAGATTTTTAAGATAAGAGGTTCAATTATGAAGTGCAAGAGTCACTGTAAGTAGGCTTAAACTAGTGTATTCAGAAGTTAAAATCGTTATCAAACGAAAAGTATGTATTTACTGATTAAAAACTTAGAAGGTTTGCTTTCTAGAAGCAAAGTGCACCGGGTGCAATAGATAAATTCTACTAAATCAGTGTAATACCCTACGAATGATAAATTTCAGAAAAACACTATACCACGTGAAAAAAGTTACTACTTTCAGAGTTCGCGCGTTGATTTAAAGATTGATTTATTTAAAGATTGAAAAATGTTTTTTGGTATATTCTCGTGTTGTTGTTTCCACACAAACTCTCTAGAAACGAAGACTAATAGTGGAGGAAATATGTGTGCAGAATCTGTAATGAGCCTGGAATAAAACTGAAGAGCCCAAACTCACTATTTAAGTGCTGAGATATTCGTTGGTAATGGTGCTTGAATCTATGAGTCTAAGCGATAAATTTTATAGTATAACCTGTAAGGTTTATGAAATCAAGTTGAATCAGACATTTGAGTAAATTTCTAGCCACATTTGTATGACGAAGGCGTCTAAATAAATTTAGAATCCGCTCATTATGCAACTTAATATCCTTCGAATGAAATACAGTGTAATCTTGAAACTACTTAATATCACCAAGACCGGTAATAACCACCCGTAATAAGTCAGGCATGAGTTTTATTAGGAGTTAATTTACTAGAGATCTCATCTGGTAGAGATTATAAATCTGCGTTTTTCAAGTCTAAAGTAGAAACATGCTTTTACCCTCGTTATATATATTATACCTCCAATTTCTTCAGCGATACAAATTTGATGCAATAACTAGGTGTTCACTTGCGACCGGTAGTTACATTTGTCTACCTTTAATAGCGTCGAAATGAGACATACTTCCAGAAGAGCTGGTGCAAAATGAAATAAGAACGTTTAATAATCAAATGCCCCTTAAGTGAAACACATATTGGCTATACCAACTGGGAAAGCAGTGTTGATACAAACACCTTTTTCATCAATATAATAGCCATTGTATGAACAATTGTACTAGCGATCGCACCACACGAGGGTCTTGAAAAGAATTTACAATACGGAGATGATAAATTTCTCTTTTAAATAATTTACTCAGTGCTCTCAGTGTCAATAATGGATGAATGTGACTTGTTTGTGTTAGTAATTTACTTTCACATTGTGTGAAGCACTGCTGCAACATGCATAAAGAAAAGATGGTTCCACTTTTCTGTTCAAATCAAACGGTGGTTTATCAGTGAATGACTTGGAACTTTACAAACTTTGCTCTTCAGCATGATTCAAATGATATTAGGTCAAAATGGTCACAATAAACTGAAGATTAGGTTTTTAGGATATTCTACATTATTTTCAGTCAATAAGCTCCTCTCCTAATAAAAATCGTGGCTTTGTCTGAAATGCTGTCCTCCTGGAAGTTATATATCCAGTATCAAAATATTTTAAATATGTTTCACTCCCTGTGATGATGCGTTGATAGGCGATTTCTTAGGGCTACTCGGATCCATTTATACGGCGATGTCAGCCATGAATTTGAGATAATCTGAAGAAAGAGCACTAATCCCGAGGTACACAGAATTTCTGCCAGATACGATAAAGAACTCGGATTTTAAGTGTACGGTATGAAATTGTGTTGTTTTCATTCATATTTAACTAGAACACTGTATATTCTGTTAATCATCATTATTTTCAATAATTTGGTTCTTTTGTATTTCCTCTACTCATAAGATCATTTGCCTATTCGTTATCTTACTAGTGGCTTGACTTTGTTAACCCAAATAACTGCGGGTGTATAGTTAGTGTTGTAATACAGAAAAAGAAAGACCTGAATAATCAGACCTTTGTTTTATCCAAAAATATTATCTGTTCAGTAATGACTTAGATTTAAACAAGAATTTAGTTTGGTCTACTCGTCTCTCCTTTCTCTTTATTTTTCCTTTTCAACATCTCATCGTATTCCGTATTAATTAGTCTGGATACCTGCTAAAGACATGGTTGCTTTCGCCAGGAGGCTGTAAATTTATCATCTGTCGAATATCAACAAGATCTCTGCACACTTACCTCATCAGTTCTTGTCACATGCAGACCCGGATTTACCTTGCACTGGTTCTCAGACATTAGTAGTTCATCGTAAGGTAACAGCCGTAACTCGCACTAATTATCGCAGTGAACACTGTAGAGTGTGAAATATTGTCTATAAGTTTATGTGAAAAATGTTAGTCATTTAAAAGAAGCCAATGTATCTTTTGAAATACTCAAGTAACTGAATAACCTTTTACAGAAAATATGTTGTCAATTTTACCATTTTGATGTTGAGTGTAAATTGATATGTCTCTTATAACATGTTGTTATTTGAGAATGAATTATTAGTACTACTTAATTGTCATTGATTCCTCACAATTCATCCTCTAAATATTAAAAATTTCCCTCTATTATCCTTTATATTTAAACCAACTGATCTCTAACATGGTAACGTGGTGAATGCTAGTATTAAAAAACTCTATCGCCACGATACAAATGCAATCAAACAACTTACAAGGCAAACAAACCCATAAATTACTACCAAACTGACTGGAATTAGTTACGTCGATTAGCTGTACAACCATCTAGCAGACATTAGGAAAGACCGGAGATCAAATCGAGACGATAAGACAGGAGCTCAACAGGATCAATCGTTTTACATAAGTCGGTGAAAAATATTTTGGGTACGGGAGGTATCCCCGCTTGAAAAACAAATTTTGAAAGTTGGAAGTGTTAAGAATTGTTCACCGAAGAACAAGCAACCCGTTACCTGCCTACATTTTCTCATTAAAAGTTATCCCAACTAGGAATACTCTGCCAGCCAAAGTGATCACAGACCTCTCTGTAAATAGCCTCAAGAAGACACTCGACTAACAAGTACTAACATAAGGATCATCATCTCTCTCTCGGACCAACTTTACATGATGCCTGTTTCGAAAACTAACTGTTGCTATTTCTGTTATTTCTTTTGGTCATTCACCTATTCACTGTCATTTAATATCTCTGTTTCCTGTTCATCACTTGTACTTGCGTCCTCTCACCCAATCCTCACTAGTAATAAATAACTTATTCCTTTAGTCAGTTCTGAAATCTCATCTGCATCAAAATTTTCTTTTTATCATTATCCACATTAAAATAATTGGTCTTTGCCCTGGTAATGTATTAATTTCTGGTATCCAGAAACCCGAATGCTCTTAGACAAACGCAGTTGGTCTAATCACGGGACATAAAAATTCATAACTCCTAGCTGTCTAGAACTAGTGCAGTTGAATGGTCAGAAAAACATTCACTGATCATCACCAGTTATTTGTAAACGTTCCGAAAGAACAAGAATCGAGTGCAAAGAAATCTACTGCTTTATGCTAGATTGTGGGATGATATTGGATATTGGAAAAGTACACTGTGTTTACCGGTTGATTGGAATATATTTGTCGCTCACGCTACTTACTATGTCTGAGTTTGACCCTGTGTCTGACTTTCTTGCTCGTGAACAGGCGGCCCTTGGCGATTTAGGCGATGATTTCAAGCTAAGTGAAGAGAATGCTGGTGAGTAGATAGATTATTTGTTCCATTTTGCATTGTCACTGAACTTTCCAACCTCCCGGAATAATGGGAATTTCGACCATTTTTGGGAGACTTTCAAGGGTTATCTCCCATAGTGGAATATAGAAAAATTTTAATAAAATTCACAATCCCCAGAGGTCACACTCAATCTGGAGGAAACCCCAATATATTCGAGGTAAACCCAGAATTACATCTAAATATGGGGAAACACATCAAACAGCATTGAGAAGACCCCGAAATTTCTTGCTGTTTTGAGCAAAACACTAAAACCTCAAAGTTCAGGTCAAATTATGTGCATTAAATCCATAACTGTCGAAATTCTTGGCAATATATAAAACTTCTTGTCTTCTCTCTGCCATTGATTCTGAAGACTGTGCAATTTTAAAACCATTTCTCTGTTGTTCGTTCACTCTGACAGTCGCGTTGACTATCCTTATTTGTAAAAGCGTTCCTTTAGAAAGTAAGTATGTGATTCTTTGAGGGCAATAACTCGTGAACACTTGCATTATAATCGATCGATTTGCCTAGTTTAAAAATAACTTCCAACGTACGAACTAACCAGGGATTTCGGTTTCCTGCAATTGAGCTTCAAGAGTATGTGGTTACTCTTGTCTTCTCGATGGTAATCCCAATGAACCAGTCTCCAAGTTGCAACTACTGGCCATCGCAGCAGCGAATGAGCTTCTCGTGATAGCGTTTGTTTTATATATTTTGGGAGATAGATCAGCAGTCGCTTTCAAAATGACATGTATTAACAACTTTCCACAAGGATACAGTTTGTTGCGTGCTCGTAAATAAAAGCCATCGGCTGCATTAGTAGGATTGATAATATCAATCTTTATCACGTCACCATTGTAGGCAAATAGTTGCTCGTTCAGCAATCATTTGTTAGATGGTTATTAACATTTATTCCTGTTCCGTATCGTTAATGAGAATGTAGGCTTTTAAGTGATGTTATAAATCAATCAACTGGCGTTAAAATTTTTTAAAGTATTAAAAGCAATAACTCCATAATACCAACGTGTAGAGGCTACTGCACTATATCAATCTACATCTTACAGGGCTTAAAGAGTGATTTCGTCCTAAAAAGGATTTAAAATTGGAATAGTAGTCTCGCAGTGGTGTCTGCATTGACACAGTACATTTATCATAGCAATCTACGTACACTCGTGGCTAACTACTGAACACTTGGATATACGTAAATTAATAGAAGCAAAAGACTCAGTAAAGTAAGCTGAATGATTAGCGTATGGTCGAAACCTATTTTTGCCGCCCTCCGTAATTTGCATAATGAAGACGGTCTTACTATTTGCCATCACTATGTTATAAGGCCTGGTAGTTCGAAATTTCAAAACTCGGCAAGTGATGATTCCTCTACAGAATTCATGACATAATGGATTCAGTTACGCTAAGTTGTATATTTTCAAATATGATTCAAAAGGAAAAGCTGAGAAAAATTCTCGGCAACAACTGTGCTGAATGACATCGTTAACAACGTGCTTTAGACTATGCTATAGTTGTATGGGGCGATCTCGTTAAAAATTCATCTGTTTTTATACCTTTGGGTACCCAATCTTATTAGTCGATCATTTTGTTTGAACTGTCGCTCTTTATCGTGTCTTGATTTTTTAAAGTATCCCAAAGGCAATTACCCATTCTCGATGTAGACGCAACTAAGTTTAACCTCGTTTTCTGTTTTTTGCTTGTGTCAAAAGTTAGTGAAATTTATTTACCACTTTCTTAGTGATAGTCACCTTTTTTAATAGTGCATGCGCTGACTAGTGATATAGTTATTTCGCAGAATATGCTGGCTTCCGGAATTTGTTGATCTCTTATCAAGTATTCTGTCTTCTTTCAACCAAAAAGTCAAAAAATCTTCAGGATCAACAACGTCGATTTCTTTAGATGACTTGGCTCTGTCTGATATACTGATAGTATGTTCAAAAGACTAATTTAATGCCTCCTGTTTCTATCGATAGGGGTGTGATCGGGATATAATGGACACCCAGTTATTGAATTTTATGTACATGATATGTAATGCCGTTTAAATAGGATCATCTGTAGCACCCCACATATATCTTTTACTTTTATCATTTTTGCGCTTGTATGCGCATTTACGTTTGGGCATTACTTACACATATAGTTATTTGACTAGCTCTATGGATTAACAGTTTGAATAATTCGATGTCAATGTCGGCCATACATATTTGAATTAAATCCGATATTTGTATCGATCATAAAATAAAATAAATAAAGAATTTAGGGCAACGACTCGTGTTCTCTCGTAGCGATCATCAAGACGGAGATAAACGTAATTTAGAAGATAAAGTCTAACGCCACAATAAATTGGTGAGCCCAACGTGATTCGAACACGCAACTTTCTGATAAACAAGAAACAAGTGTCAAAGCTCATTATTTCGTCTTCCATGTGTATAGCAGTTCTGTTTTGAATGAAGTTTTGATTTAACTGTTAGTCTTAGGCACGCATTTGCGTAATGGGTGCTTGGTAATCCTTAGGATCTTGAAAAATTAACTAAATTAAATTAATGCATTTATCACATACTTGGTAATTAATCACACTGTGAAAACTCAAACGAAGTTAGGTAGAGTATGGCTCAAACCTGGGACTACAATTTGAACATTAACTACTAGTCCACTAATCCGCAATAGGATTTACAAGAGCTCGAGTCGTTTAAGAAAAGTCGAACTAATGAACGTCCTAGTTTCACCCTCAAAGACCATCATTCTGCCGGTATCGCCCTTAAAATGGTTCTGTATGGATCGAAATTAAGTTTGATAGGCTTGATCAAGATATACCTTATCTTCATCTTCATTGTACTCTATCTGCCTACTACTAAATAATTAGTACTTCTGTCTGTAGTAAGGGGCTATGTAAAGAATGTCATTATCAAGGTATGTCTTTTCTCGATTGGGGATAAACTCCACCGTTGTTCATCATTTTGGTCTTGTACATGTGAATCAATCAAAATGAAGCGAGGATTCTTAGTATCTCTCAAAGCTTCTACCATTCACAGTGAAAGCTTGATGAGTAAACTATCTAGCTCAAATAAAGACACTTCCCTTACCCTCCTGAGCTAAAGATCCTCATCGTTTGATGGTGGAATTAAAATCGAGTCCTGTTAGTATGTTCGAGCTAAGTGACAATAACTGAACTGACTCCACAGTCTGGAAATACCTTTAAACGAGCTAGGAATATTTTACAAATTCTGAAGCCATTGACTACCGTAGGGGTAGGTTAGTAGGAATTTCGGCTGATAAATCGTTACTATATCAGTTCATGTAGCCTTTAACTCTTGCCTAGTTTAATATAGGGTTCCGCATTCACGATTTGAAGACTGTGTGACATGACTAGTAGTAGTTCATAATAGCTCGGATGCATGCACTCTTTATCTCCATCTGTCTTGAATTTCAATACCTTTTGATACATATTTTTTTCCAGACTGTATTCCGAAGGTTAATTCTTTCTTTTTATCATCGCTATTGTTATGTTCCAATCCCATTCATTATTTTCATCTTACTGTTATAATCTGCTATGGCGGCTTAGCTAACTCACGTCTCTTTATGTTGATGATGTTTGTTTATGTCATATGGATGGGTATAAACTTAGCTTAGGTCTAGAGAATACTCATTACCCATCATGAAGATTTGGCTTGCAGTTAATACTCACAATGGCAGAGTTGCATTTATTCTTCTCATCTATCGTATAAGTGTGCGACATTAAACTTGTTGTCGATACATTTTTTCCAGTTTCCTTGTTGCGTCATACGAATGTTCCCTTACTGTTTGATAAGAAATCATGTTTTACCGCTTAATCCATTAGGTCGCGACTAGGTTCAATTTTCAATCTGCCTACTTCGCTCTTGATAGCCTGGTAGCTTCATTAGCCTTCTTATAAAGTGTGGCTCAAAGTCTAGTGCGTCAATCTGTAATTACTAAATGAATCATATTGTAACTGAAATGTCGATAGACGCTACTGTAACAGCGGATAAAGAGAGCTACTTGTATGGGACTACACAAAATCGCAGACCCAATCTGAATCACACAAAGAAATATAGGCCTGTTTTTTGTTCTGTTATAAAAGTATGCCAGTAGAAACATGACGAGGGTATAAATCAGCGATTTAGTTCATATGTCTGAAAAGATAGATGAACGTATGCTACAAGTACAGGCTTTTAAAACTCTAACTATCGATCCTTGTTGCTAGTTCAAGCTAACTTTTACGCCGCTGTATTCATGTGCAAACCAATATTAATGCTAATCAATATACAGTAAATACTTATGTAACCTTTGATTGTCATGATGATATAAATTTGTATTTTCTAAATATTTTTAGCCTAAATAAGTTTTTTTTTGTGATATTCATACTATGACTTGCATCACTTTCTTAATAAAAATTAAACTATCACTAAAATTCACTTTACACCTGACTCACTTTAATTAATGACCATAAATAAACCACTTTTAAAATTAACTAATAAAGTCGAGACTACATAATATACAGTTTGGTTCTCATCCACAATTTTAATATCACATGATCATAATTTTGTAGTAGGCGGTACCTTATTTCACCTTCAAAAATATGTATTTATTACAGAGGATGTCATGAAATAATGAGTGAGTTAGTCAATAAAATGCTGACCAATCGATGTAATGCAATGATACACTGTTTAATCGAGTGATCACTACTCACGATACCGTATGTTTGTCTCGAACCTTGTTGTAAACTAATACCAAAGAAAAAGATCACTAGCCAGGAAAATAGGTTTTATTTTTGTTGAATAAACCAATCACATACTACTCATAAACATAATTACCTGTTATGAGAAATCTGAAGAAATCAGGTTTATTGGTTAGATACAGGATACTAAATAAGTATGGCAAATCAATTAGAGAGATTGTGAATCTTTATCGAATGAGATGGTTAGGACATGTACTACGTGAGTTCATCCAGCAACTAATTTAACAAGCAGTGATGGTTAATGTAAGAATAGGTTGAAAGAAAGCTAGAAAAGTACAGATCAACATGGTATCAGTTTGTGAAGATGCTGACTTTTGAACGAAGAAATGTGAATAGGTGCAAACTACCTTCTAACCAATGGTTTAAGACTGTGACAGTGGTCAAAATCGTTCACAGTGTATTAACTCTTTAGATCCTAAGTTTTCGAATTCCTCAAATCGTATCGATTCTTTAATTTATATTTTCTTCAATTATTTTTTGGATGATTAATATTTTCTATTTCCATTAGTCAGTCAGTCAGTAAGATGCCACGTAGAACTTCGTACGTAAGTACATCAGTTCATGTTGCCATACCACATCAGCACAGAGATATAATTGTCAATTCAAATCCACTAGTAGTAGAGGTAGTAAAGGTATTAGAAGTAATCGGAGAGGTTAAGATTAAAAGATATTATTCAAGAAGTTTGATTCAGTGTGAAAAGTTTAGAAAGTCAAAACTAGAGGTGTTGAAGAATCCAGAAGTTGAGGATTTTAGAGAACACAAAGAATGAATGCACTGGCGATTTCCATTAATACTATTACTACTACTACTGCTACTACTACTACTACTACACTGGGATTAATCCTGACTATTGCGTCTCTCCGGTTTCGGCAACTTGAACCGATGTACATGTGTAGGTTTCGCTTTCCATTCGACTAACTGACTTTACTCTCCAATGAATCAAAACTAGACAATTCTTTATCATCCATTATGTTAGTGTTTCACTTCTTTCTTTATTATGACATTTCAACATGTTACATTTAATAATTGATCGTTCGCTCACATTTCCGTTGTTTCTTGAATTGGTTAGTGGATTTGATCATGAGAGTTTTCTTTATTAAATAATTTAGATATAGAAGTTCAATCACATGAACCAGCCTCTGATCCTAGTTATGTATTTCTTAATGGACAATCGACAATGAATGGTTCTCATGTTGAACAAAAAAATCTCAATGAGCCTAATTATAATATTAACGATTCTGATCATGATTTTAACACAATGATATTATCATCTGACAATAATAATAATAATGGCACAGAATCTTGGCGTGAAGAATTTAACAAAAGAATCAAAGCTAAAGATGCTGAAGAAGAGAAAAAGTGTAGTGAATTAATGGAAACTGGAAAAAGGGTAATTTTTCAGTTAGACGTTTTGTTATTGTTGTTGTTAAATTGTGTAGTGAAATGTACTCAGTTAAAATTTAAATTGTCGAGTAGTAGTAGTAGTTAAGCGTGTTGACCGCTTCACTTATCTGGGGAGTCTCATCAATGCTGATGGCCTGGTGACTGACGAAATCTCAGCTCGGATACAGAAGGCTCGATTGGCTATTGCCAACCTGCGTCACTTATGGCGTAGGCGAGATATCCGTTTGCTGACCATAGGACGGGTATACTGCGTAGTAGTTCGCTCCGTCTTACTTTATGACTGTGAAACATGGCCAGTGAGAGTAGAAGAAATTCGTCGGTTATTGGTCTTCGATCATAGGTGTCTTCAAAGTATTGCTCGTATATCCTGGGACACCCGAGTGAGCAACGCTGTCATTAGAAAACGGGTACTAGGTAAGAATGGCAGATCAATAGATGAAGTAGTGAAACTTCATCAGTTGAGGTGGTTAGGACATATGTTACAAATGCCTAACCACCGACTGCCTCCACAGGCTTTGTTTTGTAGTATAGGAGTAGGTTGGACGAAAGTTAGGGCCGGCCAGACCAAAACATGGCACAAATCTATGAAGTCAATGACAAGTGTACTGAGTCATGCCCGTAGGTGTCGACTACCTGGTTGGGTTCCGCGAGATGATCATAATCGATGGTTAGAGACCTTGAATAACATGGCTCAAAATCGTTCGCAATGGCGCAGGTGCATTTATGCTTTGCGTTCTCTCAAATCCTAATCTTCTGGATTCTTCAACACCTCTAGTTTTGTCTTTCTAAACTTTTCTCACTGAATCATAATTCTTGAATAATATCTTCTAATCCTAACCTCTTTGACTACTTCTAATACCTTTACTACCTCTTCTACTATTGGATTTGAATTGACAATTATATCTCTGTGCTGATGTGGTGTGGCAACATGAACTGATGTACTTACATACGAAGTTCTACGTTGCATCTGACTGAATGAAATTGTCAATATTCTGCAATTTTGGAATATCGAAATAATAAGCAAAGTAGATCAAATGTAATGTGAGTATGTCTAATCGATAATAGTTACGTTCTAAAATAACTAATTCTATTATGTCTTCAGTATGGTATTATACAGATGTCTTCTTTCAGTCAACCAGAGTTTGTAGTTACAGTTACCTTTGATTTAACTGAAGGCGATTTTAGTGTGTTACTTTTGATCTACTACACTTAAGAAGAACAATCGGATCCAAATGATATTGCTTTGTACTTAATATTTCGGGGAATAGTATCCGTCTGTTAACATTATCGTTATCTCAGACAAATTTTGATGAATAAAACTGTGGCGTACCAGACTATTGCTATCATCTAGTGTTCATAACTAGCCTACTGTTATAATTCTCTCTCTCTTATTACAACCCAGCTGTTCCTAATGCTTAGTTGTATTCTTGGACACCAATTCAATCTCAAATCAGAGCATGGTTGAACAGGAAAAGAGATTATATTCCAATAACAAGGTTAGAATGAAGACAGAAGGTCGAAAGGAAAAGACGATAGTATATTTATAGTTTTTACATAAGGAGATTCTGGAGAGTTCCCTCAGTATCGGCTAGCGCTAACTGGATATGAAAGAACCAATCAGCGTGCAACACCTACTTTATCAACAATTGAATAGAATTAGTTATTATATATCATTATGTGTGAAGTTTGTTTTAAGCTTTGTATATTCAAATCTCTATTCAGACAGCTTTTGTGCTACTTTGGCCTTCATACAAAAATGCAGCTGAAAATCTACACTAGGTTACGGAATTTTATCACGTTTCTTACTCAAAGTTCATATTTAGATTATTCATATACGTGTGTTCACCCGATGAAACACGAAACAAAGCCAAAAAACCTTGATTTATATATTTCAAAAATTCGTCAAAATAGGTAATCAAATCGTATTGAAACTTTATCAGTTGAGGTGGTCTGGGATACGTAACTCATGTCCCAACCACCAACTGCCTCGACGAGCTGTTTTGTGGTGTGGGGGATTAGGTTGGAAGAAAGCTAGAAGCGGCCAAACGAAAACATGGTACAAATTTATGAAGTCACTGACAACTGGATCCAGTTATGTTGGTAGGTGTCGACTGCCTAGTTGCGGTCTGCATGACAATAGTAACTGACGGTTGGAGACCTTGAACGACATGGCTCAAAATCGCTTTTATTGGCACAGGTGCATGCACTCTTTGTGTTGTCTCAAGTTCTTATCTTCTGAATTCCTCATCACCTCTATCTTTCTAAAGTTGTCACTGAATTTTAATTCTTGAGTAAGATCTTCTAACCCTAATCTTCTCCATTACCAGTAATATTTCTACTAACTCTACCACTATTAGATTTGAAGTAACAATTGCGTTTCTATGCTAATGTGGTATAGCCACCTGAACTGATGTACTTTTACATACGAAGTTCTACATTGTAACTGACTACTGACTCAGTCAGTCAATCAGACTGGTACTCAAATGTTACTAACTGATAAATAATAATTCATAATCATTTTTTTCCATGTAGTGGTTAGGTTAATTATTTTTCGATCATTACAATTGTATGAGGATAGATTTTCTTGAGTTAATTATCATTTAGTAAAAGTTTCTCAAAGCGTTCTGATTACTTCTGCAATAATCATTTCAATGAATATTTACAGTTATTGTTCAATCATCATCATCATTCACTTGGTAGATTTCAATGTGATTTTTTTTTTTTTTATAGAGAACCCATGTTATAATGCTGATTCTTTATTTATTCCATCTTCTTTTTTCTATTTCTTTCAATATTTCTTGTGAAATTTCTATGCAAAGGAATTAAATAATTGGTATAAAGAATATCATCAACATTTAGAGACAAGATCTCGTGAATTACGTGAGAAGAAACATGATTCAAATGGTCAGTTAATGAATGGTGGCGATAAGCCATCTGTGAAAGATACAGCTGTTTGGGAGAGTATTTGCAATTTATGTGATTTTCAAGTATGCATTTTAGGATATTGATTTTCTTGGATTATTGGTTTTATTAAAAATGTGTTACTACTACTATTCATTCTACTTCTTCTAAGCACAATAATATAAAACTACGCAAGACTCAATGTGCAATCACAAAGATTTCGATTGCCTGAATTTTATCTTTATGTATTTTGCTTAAGGCAACCTCAGTAATAACAGTTCCAAGCTCTGAGAACATTTAGTCTTGTCTTATACTCACTTAATACTCCTGTTACCCTCGATGGAGCATGGGCCGCTAACCAGAATTATCCACCCTACATTGTCCTGGGCTTCTCTTTTCAGTTCTGTTTAATTTTTGTTTATTCTTCTCATGTCTTTGTCTATTTCTCGGCGTAATGTGTTTCTTGGCCTTCCTACTTTGTTCTCTCCCACAGTAGGTTGTTGCTGATGGTGTCTGGCCAACGAATTTGAAGTATTTTAAGTAGACAACTGTTAATAAACACTTTTATCTTCTGGATGATGGCTTTCGTAGTTTTCCAAGTTTCCGCTCCATACAGTAGAACTGTCTTGACATTTTTATTGAAAATCCTGATTTTGGAGTTTGTTGATATTTGTTCACAGTTCCAGATGTTGTTCAACTGTAGAAATGATGCCCTTGCTTCGCCGACCCGCACCCTCACATCTGCATCGGATCAACCTTGAATGTCAATGATTCTGCCCATATATGAAAAGATTTTTACCTCCTCCACGGCATTTCCATAAAGAGAGATTTGGTTGACTCATGTTGTGTTGTATCGGAGAATCTTGCTTTTTCCTATATGTATATTGAGACCTGCTGCTGCTACACTGATCGTCTTCTCTTGCATTTGTTTTTGCGTGTGCGATAGAAGAGCCAGACCATCTTCTGAGTCCTTGTTAAGAATTTGCCTGGTATTGAGAGAGGAGTGATGCCTCTGTAGTTCTCACACTTGCTGAGATCACCTTTCTTTGGTATTTCGATGAGGTATCCTTCTTTCCAGCGTGTCGGTACTTGTTCTTCATCCCAAATCTTGTTGAAGAGCATGTGGAATATTTTTGCTGTTACTTCCACGTCTTCTTTCATTGCTTCTGCTGGAATGTTGTCTGGTCCTGCTGCTTTGCCGCTCTGGATTTGTCTGATGGCCACGCTAATCTCTTCAATTGTTGGTCGGCCAACGTCGATTGGGAGGTCCGTGGATGCTGCTTCGATGTTGGGTTGGTTCAGTGGAGCTGGCTGATTCAAAAGTGTCTTAAAGCGCTTTACCCACCTGTTTCGCTGTTCTTCAGTGTTGCTGATTACTTTGCTTTCCTTGCTTTTCACTGGTCGTTCTGGTTTGTCTTGTCTTAGCGTTCATTTGAAATACTTGGTAGGAGGAACGAAAAATAAATCATGAAATACATGGATGTCAAAGCATGAAAGTATTGGGTACTTAAGTGTTTTAGTATTGTTTTGGATAGATTAAGTGACTTAACATTTGGTTGTTCACTTATCTCATTATCTGTCTTGAATACAGCTGAAATTTACTTAAGAATGTAGTTCTAGTCAACATATCATCAACTATGAAAATATTCATAGAATTGTTTGTATACGTAAGTGAAGCGTTAATTCAATAAATTAGTTACTTACTTATAAATTTTACAATCTATGGAGTTGTATGTACGACAGTATGCATCACAGGAAACAAAGGCTACATATTTATAAACCTATTGTAATTTCAATCTTTCTGGAATATTGTAAATTTGACTTCTTCTGCAATTTACTTATTTAATCGGTGAAACTATATAAAGCTTCGTTGACTGATTAGGTTACGATATATGTTACGTCATGCTTAACAATATCAAAATATGAGATTATTTTGTTTATTCAATAAGTTGTAATCATTGTCCTATGTCATCTCCAGGCAGTTTTCAAAAGTGTTGTTGAACCGAATAGATGATTCAGTAAACACCTGATTTTCAGATAAACATTCCGGATTCCGTAAGGATCAATTGTGCACTGAACAGATCGTGACACTATGTGTGATTGTGGAACAGTCAATTGAACGAAACTCACCACTGTTCATGATATTTCTTGACTGCGAGAAAGCATTTGGCAACACGGACAGAATTACACTATGTAGTACCTGAAAATAGTCAACATTTTAAGGACGATGGATTAACCTGCACAATCTTGCATGGAGGACAGCTAACAGACTCGTTCGAAGTGAAGACCGGTGTCAGATAAGGTCGCATACCCTTCATCCTCTATCTACTGGTGGTTGACGGGATTATGAAAACCTGAACATTTCAGGATGAGTGAGGCATGTAGTGGACAGCTCGGCTGCGGCTGGAGGGAGGATTTGGACTTTGTAGATGATCTAGCTCTTCTATGCGACACAACAGCAAATACAGGTGAAGACAAGCAGTGTACAATCACCCTCTTCAATAGTAGGTCTCAACACAACACGACGGAGATGCTTTGGAAAATGTAGAAACTTTTACATGCCTGAAAAGTATTATTGATAAACAAGTTGAATCTGACGTAGATATGAAAGCACGGATTTACAAAGCAAGCATTTCTGAAACTAACAAAACATCTGGAACTAAAAATACAAGCGTCCAGATAGTTCTACTATATGGAGCTGAAACTTGAAAAACTACTGAAACCACCTAAACGATACATGTATATATAAACAGTTGTCTACAAAATATACTGTGGATCCGTTGACCATCAGCAACCTACTGTAGTAAAGAAAAAGCTGAGAGGGGAATTAAGAAAGCGCTGTGGAGAGTGCTAGGATACATCGTGAAAATCACGAGGCTAGCTAGTGCTAGCTTGGAACCTTCAAGGTGAAAGGACAAGAGGAATGAGAAACAGACGTGAGAAGAATGAAAACTGACTAGGTAAAACTGTAAAGGAAAGCCCTGAACAGAGTTGCTTAAAGAATACTGCTTGGTAGCTTATACTCCTCTAAAGGGTAACAGGCCATAGGTAAGCAAATAAGCAAGCATCCATGAATATTATTAGTAAAAGACACAATCTGCTTTACTCCATAACTCATATTAACTTTTCTCAATAGTAGTGTATTTTCATTACATTATTCTTATTTTGCCTCTATAATGTTTTCATTTCCCCAATCAATATTCAATTTCCCCTTTTTCGGTTCTTGTTTATTTTTCAGTCCAAGCAAAAATCTGCAATTGATACATCAAGAATGCGTAATATTCTCCTCTCTCTTATAGAACCAAACAATTAACAACATACAGTATTCTATAAAAATCAATAAGGACAATATGTGCCTTTCTATTATTATTATTATTCTTTCCCGTATAATAACACACTGATTGTGATATTTACCCAAATAGGAAAAAAAGTGCCTTGTCGTGTTGTGTGTGTGTGTGTGCGTGCGCGCGCGCTGTACACTGTATGAAATTCAAATTGCCTCATTCAACTAAACTATTGATGAATTTCGTGTTGTTTTTTTTAAAGTTTTTTCTCTTTATTCAAAACACATTTTGTTATAAAAAAAGTTTTTTTTGTATTGATTTCAATGGTCAATGTTTGTTTCCCTATTAGGAGAATATATGCTACATTGATCAAACTTTGATTACATTGGTTGATTTTTATTTTGAACATTGAATTTTGGTTGTTTTTTTTGTGTACATCATGTACTTTTTGTTTTGTAAGCGAACATTAATTACCACCTTTTCAGCTGTTCAGTTGTCTGTCTTATGTTATAATAATTCAGAAAAATGTATGTGTGTGTGTGTGTGCGCTAGTGATTGATTACTACATTTCATGTTCCATGTCGGATATGTTTGTGCGGTGGATGGAGAGTTTTTTTTCTTTCCGTACGTGCGTTGTGCCTTTACATTTTTTCTCTTCATAATTTATAATGTTAATATTAAATAAACAATTTGATTTATACTTGTTTTTTCTCTGTCTTTTATCGATGATTCTTTGAGAAGATATTCATGTCTATTGTTGTGTTATGTGTCTGTTTGTGTATGCTGTCTTTGTGTTCGTGTGTCTGTGTGTGGTATTTGTTTACTATGCAATTCAATCAGTGTTCTAGACTTGTGTTGATACTTTGCTTAGATTATATTTATATATGTTTATATATTCACATATCAAATATTTGTTTATGTAATCAACTGTGAGTTACACTATTTTTGGTAAGAGCTAACCGAAATCGATGCGGTGGGATTCAATTGTGCCACTGACTGGTTAGTCGATTACTTTTAATAAGCACTCAGCCATAATACACTTCATTCACTTATCATTTATCATTATCAATCCAATCATGTCTCCTTTTAACAATATCAGTCACTTGTTTGATTGATTCAATTTGTACAGTAAACACAAATATGTTAGGCGAAATTTGATGGAAATTGACTATGTGGTGTAAATTTAGATTTTATTGTATGGTTAGTTGACGCAACAAGGCATATTTAAAATCTTCCTGAAGCTCATGCTCTCTGCGTGGTGTTCATGTTCACATTAAATATATTTTTATTTCCTTATTTGTATAACGTCATTATTGATTGATGGAACGATGGAATCAATCCTTTTTGAATAAGTCCAGCTTTAAAACTGTACAATTGCATTTGTAATTATACGTATGTTTCATCAAGTGTGTGTGTGTGTGTTAACGAATTATTTTGGTTAGAATGTTTGAATATCAGGTGTTTTTTTGGAAATCTGGAATTCATTAAATGCTTTCAACTATTCAGGAGTGGACCTTCTACCAGGAGACACCCTTGCCGACTTAGGGTATGCTGATGACATAGTTCTATTGGGTGAAGACGCTGACAAAATGCCGAGTCTTCTGACTACCCTGAGCAACAATGCAAGCGTGTTCGGGATGCGGTTTTCACCTTGGAAATTCGAGATTGGCTTGCAACGGCATCGGAACTAGAGATGGGGGAGTTAAGTAGTTGAGCGTGTCGATCACTTCATTCATCTCTGTAGTTCCATCAGCGCTGACGACCTGGTGACTGACGAAATCTCAGCACGGATACAGAAAGTTCGATTGGCTTTTGCCAGCCTTCGTCACTTATAGCGTAGGCAAGTTATCTGTTTGCTAACCGAAGGGCGAGTGTACCGTTCAGAAGTTCGCTCCGTCCCACATACGGATGCGAAGCAAGGCGGGTGAGAGTGGAGGACATTCGTAAGTTACTGTTTTTCGATCATAGCTGTCTCCGAAGCATTGCTCGTGTATCATGTGACAACCGAGTAAGCAATGCTATAGTTAGGAATCGAGTACTAGGTAGGGATGGTATATCAATCGATAAAGTATTGAAAATTCGTCAGTTGAGGTGGTTGGGACATGTGTTATGTATGCGTAACCACCGACTGCCTCGTCGAGCTTTGTTTTGTAGTGTAAGATTAGGTTGGAAGAGCGTTAGGGGCGGTCAGACCAAAACATGGCAGTAATCCATGAAGTCATTGACTAGTGGACTGAGTCATGTCGGTAGTTGTCGACTACCTGGTTGAAGTCCGCGAGATGATAATAATCGATTGTTAGAGACCTTGAATGTCATGAATCAAAACCGTTTACAATGGCGCCGGTGCATTTATTCTTTGTGTTCTCTCAAATCCTAATCTTCTGGATTAGTCAGCACCTCTACCTTTGTCTTTGTAAACTTATTTCACTGAATTATACTTGTTGAATAATATCTTCAAATCCTAATCTTCTCCATTACCGGTAATACTTTTACTATCTCTACCACTATGGGATTTGAATGGACAGTCGTATCTCTGTGCTAATGTGATATGGCAACCTGAACTTATGTACTCACATACGAAGTTCTACCTTGTAACTGATTGACTGAAAAATGAATTCACTATATGCTTTTTTTTGACAAAAAATTTAATTTAATGGATATTTTGTTGTTTTTTTCTCAATACTTAAACTATGGTGAAAGAGATAATACTCTCGGATGCGATAAAAAAGATAGATGGTGGTGGCCTTAATCTATGATACTCCCTATTTACTATGGTTACGCATTGAGAAGTACATATACTTTACATTTTTATTAATATCTTTTCTATAACTAAATAGTTCACTGGTTATAAATCATAACGTACGTATACATATGGATGGATATAAAGTTTAATCAAAATAGTGAAATTATTACTATCAGGGATGAGTTTAAAAGACGATTTTCTTGCACTTTAGTCATCGAACAAATCAATACATTGATTCTTTTTGAGAAAATAAAAGTAATAACATTCACATTTCAACACTGCATAATCTAACCTACTTCCTACTTCGTTTATCAATTAAATAAGCTGTAGACTCTAGCGGCTTGCCCAATTTGACTTTAGTCAATATACCTACCTTTACACCTAATGTTCAACCTAATTAAAGTTGTTTACATGAATTCGTCAGTTGATAAATGTTTACTGTCTCTGTACATCTTGTGCTTGATATAATTGTTTTTTTCTGCTCTAACCAACAAATCATAACATCAAGATTAATTAAGAGTGTAGTTGTACAATCAACATCACCCGGATCCACCAAATTTATATGCATTTTTATGTATCTACTATTCTCAGCTATAGAGAAACATATTCTACCATAAGAACATAATTATTAAGTGAAATAAGAAAAATGATTTGAAAAGTAAACAAAAAAAACATTATTACTGATTAGAATCGATTAAAACAAAGTAACATTATAACTGAGAAAGTTTTTAATTTGAAAGTTGATCCACTATTGAATTTTGTGTGGCTTTTTTTTCTGTTAAGTTATTCAAAATTTCAATATATTATGAAATATATATACACATTACGATTTGTTACTGTTTTATGTACATATTTAAAATTGTTACTCCGCCTGGAGCCCTTCTGTGGCGACTACCGGTCCCAAGCTCGGAAAAAGTAGGAGGGTTGGGATTGGCGACCTCATTCCATAAAAAAACTAACTTGCTTAAAAAGAAACACTAACCAGCAAAACATAATTTAAACTTATCGGCTTTCAGTAGTTCATTCAACAGCTATATTAGTTAGTTATAATAAGCATCCTATAAAATTTCGCAGTCTTAATTTTTAATGATTGTTTTTTTCATTCGCACAGTTAGTTGAGTGACGGTGAAGTAATAGACCTGTGTATACTAATCCTTAAGTTACCTTATTTTTTTTGACAACGTATCACAGTTTAAATTGATTGTCCACACATTTGTTGTTAATATTACCATAATCATTATCATCATGCACAACAACGTGTAGAGCCGGACACATGCATAATTCGGTTCAAGTTACTATACCACCATTGTACATCGAGTTAAAACTATTTCAATAGAAATTCTTAAGTAGTAGATGGAGAAACAATATCAGTATTAGTGTAGAAGAAAATAGATTATGTTTAGAGGAAGATAAAAAAAGGTATTGAGAGGTGGTTTTGGTAATTAAATTCTAAAGAATATCAACAAGTGGATGTACCTTTACCAATTGCAAGCCTAGTCAGAACTAATTAAATTGTAATTGTACTTATTACTTAATAAAATTACAAACTCCTCGAGTTTGTTTAAAAAAATAAAAAAAAAGTGCAGATGATTAAAATAATTTTTTATTCATTGTGAATAAATAAATTGGATTATGTAATAGCTATGGGATTGAAAGAGTACATCAGAATTTTCTATACATTTAACAAGAAATCGTATAATAATTATAATAATAATAATAATAGTAAGCAGAAGAACGCGTGATGACAATAAAAATAATTATAAAGTCTTCGTTAAACGTAGGTGTAATTAGCTACTTGTAACTTATTCATTCCTGTATTGGTTCGATGACCAAAGTAAGTTAGAATAATGGTTATACAAGTTTATTTCATATGAATGTTATTGTAAAATATTTTAGTATAAGAGTTTAGATCAAAAACGAATCGGATTGTTATTATTATTTGTTAAAATGTATTTAATTGATAAGTCAATTGTTACTGTGTTTCATGCTTGCTAATAATTAAATGAGATTTAAAGTATTGGATGGTAAGAGGCTCTGAATGATATGGCTCAAAAGCGTTTTCAATGGCGCAGGTGAATTCATTCTTTGTATTCTGTCAAATCCTAACCTTCTGAATTCCTGATCACTTCTATCATTCTCTTTTTAGGTTTATTTCATTAGATTCTACTTCTGGGATATTATCCTCGAACTTTAATCTCTTCTATTACTTCTTATACTTCAACTGCCTCTGTTACTATAGGAATGAAGTGACAATTGCATATGTGTGCTAATATGGTACGGTAACCTGAACTGATGTACGTACGTACGAAGTTCTTACATTGTAACTGACTAACTGACTGATTGCGATTTGAAGTGACCTATTAAGTTCTATTTCCATTAGTTTTCTAATGAATCACATGTATACAACATATCTTTCAGTGATGTTTTCATTGTTAGCAGCTATTTATTAAAGTTAAACTTTATGTATTTTATCTTTGGACTATAGTGCTGTCATTTTTTGATTCAATCGTTTAAATAATCAATTTCTAACAATTAGGCTTCTAATTTGAACTTACATTCTTATTTACATCAACTTTCGATTAACCTGAATATCATCAGAACATTATGTGCAGTAGTTCGTACGTACGTACGAAGTTCTATGTTTTTGCTGTGACGGACCGATGCAAATTGAAAATTGATTTATAATATAAAACTCAAACTGTTTGAACGCTTTCATAGATCATTTTACGAAAAAAATATTCTTGTATCTTGAAATAAATTTTAAATAAGTAGTTTGTGTATTGCTTCTGTTTTTTTTTTCAAAATAATGTTCTCAAAGAAATATATTTAATATACGATAATATAGATGTAGTTTTAACAAACACTACTTTGATCCCTTGTCTTAACTGTGGAACGACTGGTTACATTCTACAACAGTGAAAAAAAAATGGCAAAACTGTAAATGTTGACTTTATGA